TCGTGTTTAGTAGTTTTCAATAATTTCTTATGAATTGAAACTACGTTTCAATATGTAGGTTTTGAAAGAGTATTTCTAGATGTGATTTTTCCTCAACTTTTCACTTTCTTTGAAATTAACAATTTTGTGTTTAATCGTGTTCAGTAGTTTTCAATAATTTTTTATGAATTGAAACTACCTTTCAATATGTAGGTTTTGAAAGAGTATTACTAGATGTGATTTTTCCTCAACTTTTCACTTTCTTTCAAATTAACCTAATTATTCCAACGTTTGACAAATTTCTGTCAACAAATGTTCCTTGATTTGTAACTTATAGTATACATTTTTGCGGTGTATTTAAGTGAGAAAAATCATAATGCTAAACGTGAACTTTAACATTAATCTTGAAAGTATACCATACCAACAATTACTCTGTCATTCTACGATATGTTGATAACAATAATAGTTTGAAACTACAGCTACCGAACTGAGTCAGGGCCGGTGGGAGAAATCGTATCTGCGTAAAGTTTATGCAATTTACTTTTAAACTCCATCACTAACTGAATACGGTCCTGAATTTGGATGTTTACGGCTCGAATAATCTAACAGACTGATAACAGATTTCTACACATCTTGAGGGAGGGACTTCTCACCGGCCATGACTCAGTCCGGCAGNTATATATATATATATATATATATATATATATATATATATATATATATATATATATATATATATATATATATATATATATATATATATATATATATATATATATATATATATATATATATATATATATATATATATATATATATATATATATATATATATATATATATATATATATATATATATATATATATATATATATATATATATATATATATATATATATATATATATATATATATATATATATATATATATATATATATATATATATATATATATATATATATATATATATATATATATATATATATATATATATATATATATATATATATATATATATATATATATATATATATATATATATATATATATATATATATATATATATATATATATATATATATATATATATATATATATATATATATATATATATATATATATATATATATATATATATATATATATATATATATATATATATATATATATATATATATATATATATATATATATATATATATATATATATATATATATATATATATATATATATATATATATATATATATATATATATATATATATATATATATATATATATATATATATATATATATATATATATATATATATATATATATATATATATATATATATATATATATATATATATATATATATATATATATATATATATATATATATATATATATATATATATATATATATATATATATATATATATATATATATATATATATATATATATATATATATATATATATATATATATATATATATATATATATATATATATATATATATATATATATATATATATATATATATATATATATATATATATATATATATATATATATATATATATATATATATATAAAATACATTTATGTTGAAAACGAGGTCATTCTAAAATGCAAGTAGAACGTCAATTCTTATAATAAAGAACAAGCAGTCCAACTGAAAGGTTAATTAGTAACATATAAAATCACATGTATTTTAAGAGAGGTAGGTCATAAAGTTCATACCAAAAAGTTCATTGCTGGACAATTTCTCCTTCATATTCCAGTTGATTGTACCATTGTATTCCCACTGGTGATTTTAGAAATAATTCGGCTGTTTTGACTTTTTTCGAAAAAATCATGTAACCAGATAGAATGTCTGCACAAGAATTATTATATCAATTGAATTTGGGTCTACTCCGTAAGGAATATCAAAATTATATATGAGCATTTTGGATATGAAAAAGTTTGAGTGCGAACCTGTCCAAAAACATTTCGCGAGTCCTGTCCTCTTATCGTCACTTCCCAAAATGGCGTCTAGATACTTTTCCACATCAAAGGCGGCATGGCCAAGTGTCCATGCTGATTGTTACCTATGCTGTGGTTTGGCTTTCTATGTATTGTTTTTTTTGGCCTTGGAGAGTGCCGACAAATTTAAGTGTGCACAATACCGTTTACTTCGACTATACTTACTTAAAAAAAGTGCGGATTTTGTAATCCTCGGTATGAACGAAGTTCCTTACACTATCTCTAAAATGTGTGAAGGATAACCGTTTGTTATAGAAGTGAAATCAATATAATCGTCAGTATCAGTACTTGGTGATTCACTTGTCGTACTTTCCACAACAGAAAATATTTTAACAGTAGTTGTATGTATTAGGCTGTTTCAAAAGTTTTATCCGTATTTATGAGTCTACTTCAAACTGTAATTTATCAGTGAATGAGTGAAATAAGCGTCATTTGAATCAGAACATTTTTACCAACATAACACAAGTTGATTAATTCCGTCAGCATGAAAATTGAGTGCTTGGGATTCGAAGACGTTGACTAAGGCTGTTTTTGCCTGGTCCTGATTGGCGAAGGTTCTACCGGTGTGAAGTTATCGAAGTGCTTGAAAAGATGGTAGTCGGTTGGCGAGAGGTCTGGGGAGTATGGTGGATGAGGCAGAACATCGACGCTCAATTGATGTACCTAAAAAGGTTAATGAAATATCGTTTTAGACGTATTAATGAAGTCCTAGAATCCACAAATATGCCTCTACAGAAAATGGGATATATTCTAAACAATCTTTCGGTAACATGGTGTTTTCCATTTCCAACCTATAACCTGGACAGTATTTCGAAGCAACTGCTTTAAAAAAAAACTCAGACTGAAATGTCATCCCAATTATACTTGAATATAAACTGTTTATTGCAAGATTCGCTTTCTGGTGTCTGGTGTCTAAACCTGGAACATGTTAAAGTTGAATGAAGTAAGAAGACATTTTAACAGACATGATTCCGTCTTCTTCACGTTATTCTGAAAGACAGCTTCACTAGAATATTACACTTTTTTTCAATTGAAAGTAACGTAAATATCATTTCAGCTATGATGGTCTGTTATATTGATTGCTTGATGGCGGAGCCTGATCCAGAGCAATTTCATGCTGACCATCCCTTCTTGGTTGTCATATGCACAGCAACAGATCCATCACAATCTACAAGGCAGGGTTCGATTCTCTTCAAGGGGCGCATCGTTCAACCTTAATTGGGATATGGTCTAATATATTCAAACGATTAATGCCATAGATATTTGATAATGCCGAATAAGATACCAACCAAACGGATTGGTGAAATGTTTGTCAGAAATCTCGTGAAGTGTCAACATCTTCATTGCAAATCATTGTAAAATATTTATGGAAATAAATCTTTCAGGCTGATTAGACTTTTAAATTACCAATAGCTGGTGATTTTAGTGTGTTAACTCTAAAATGGAGTACCTACAATACATATTGCAGAAAGTGGTTTCAATATTTTAGCTATGGTTTTTCATATTAGCTATGGATTTTTATATTCAATTGAAGATCAGTATTAACTGACCTTCAATTTTTTTTTCAAATAATGATCTAAACTTTTTCAAAATTTCCTGTTCATTCAAATAATTTTGTGCTCAATCGTGTTTGGTAGTTTTCAATAATTATTCAAAATTATAGTCAATAATTATTCAATGATTATAGTCATATTTGGGGTGACTGAAGTCATTATCAGAATTATAGGAACTGTAATATTTCTATTGAAAGGGTACATTTTTAGGAGAGATTAATTTTTGGTGAAGTTTTTGGCCTTCTACTTCTCTATCTTGATACAAAAAATGTGGGAATCTTCCAAAAAAAGGAACGAAGCAATCAGTTTCAAAAAAGTAACTCTATACAAAGATGTGTAGATCATGCAAAGAAGTAACTTTCAGACACAAACTGAGAGAAAAAGCCCCCTCGAAACAAGTTTTTTCATATAATTACACATTGAATTACACGAAAGAAAAATACTTTCGAAACAAATACTTTTATATGACCGTCGAATTATACGAAAAACACTTTTCTCTATTCCGTTTGTATTTCAAACATTTAATGAAAGAAGTAAAATTTCACTTACATGGAACACTGTCATCCTCACTGCTAGACATCCGATGTTTCGCCGTAAGACACTTGCCTGATCGGCTCTCCAATAGCAAATAAGAATAACATTATGAGAAAAAACACTCAATTTTTTCATAATTACGACTTCATGTCACGGAATAGATTGAATCCACCCATGTCATCGATGGTAGTACGTAAATAACATTCATTCGCTTATAATTTCTCTAAAAATTGATTTCGAAAATGGTTATAGTATAATCAATATAATCAATCGTCTGTTGTGTTGATTCACTTGTCGTGCAAAGTAGATATATGTATTGGCTTGTTTCGAAAGTTTTGTCCATATCATTGAATACTTATTCATTTTAAGCGAAATAAGCGCCATTTGAATCACTACACATTTTGCCAATCGAGCACATGTCGATTAATTCCGTCAGCATGAAAATTGAGTGCCCGTCATGTAGTTACTTATTGGTGTTTTTTAGGAAAGAAGGCGATAAAGCTAAGAAGTGGTCCGAAGCCCCCAAAAGAATTTTATGCTGATCATCCCTTCATTGTCTTCTTAAGTAGCAGTTGTCACACTATCGTTATGTTCCAGGGTCGCATATCGAATCCTAATAACTGAATTATACAGGTAGACCTTGGCTTAGTGAATCATTCAACGCTTTGAGTTCGATTTAAACTAAACATACTGATAATTGTGCCCTTGAGAACACCCGATAATTGTGGGATGAGTAGGGGAGAATGTTCCACGATTAGACATGTTCCACAATCAGACAAAGCATGTAATTTTGAAATTCCAGCCGCGAGTTCGAGGATTTTCGTTCGGATAGTAGGGTTACACACGCAGTTTTGGTAAACAAAGTTGTAACGCTATTGTTTTGGATTTGAACATTTTTCAACAAAAAACTTGTTTTCCTAGGTGAGTTTTTTCTATCCTTGGTTTGATATTATAAGCCTTAATTTTTCTTTTGGAACTAGTAGTACAAAAACAATCTGTTGATCAGGTTTTGAGCTATTTTATTGACATTTTATGAGCGAGTTTACTTTTGAACATAATTCGTGCCGTTAAAAAAGTGACTTATGGAGCACCGTATGGTACTTTGGGATTGGTTTCCGACTCTGGATGGATGACTCGTGAGTTGTTTCCAAGCGTTCACTTCATTGAACATACGTCCAGCACAAAAGAAAACCCTTCCCTCCTGATTTTTGACAATCACGAGAGTCATCTGACGATAGAAGGAATGAATCTAGCAAAGGAAAATGGAGTGATCATTTTGACCTTACCACCGCATACTTCCAACAAGATGCAACCGTTAGATGTCTCTGTTTTTTTCGTTCGAATCATTCTACAATACTGCCTCACAAACATGGCTTTCAGAACACCCCGGGATACCCGTTTCTATTTTTGATACAGCTGGCTGTGTTAATGATGCATTAGAAAAATCGATGACGCCAGCTAATATAAAATCCGGATTTCGAATAAATGGGATTTATCCTTTCGTTAAATTCTTGTTTACAGATGACGACTTTGCAATTAGTAGTGTAACTGATAGAAATGTGGATCAAAACAATGAAGAAGCCTGACCACATATAGATCCCAATCAACCATCAACATCAAGCTGTATTGAAGAAAATATTATGTCAGTCTCCTCACTTACAGCATCAGTTTTAATTTACACACAACTTCCACACAAAATCAAGACACAGAAACTTTCATAAGTCCGCAAGAATTCACAGGATACCCAAAAGCTGAAGAACGAAAGAATCAGAGAAAGAAGAGAGAAAAAGAAAGCAAAAAATTGAAAATTGAACAAACAAAAAAAAAGGAAAAGAAAACTAAAAAATTCCAAGCCAAAGTTATTTAATGGCGTTTTTATAAGTAAGCACAATCGTCTTCGGGTGATTGAGAGATTACTATTTATAGGTCATTCGAGTGCTTTCACCTATTCCCTCTTTCCTCTCTCCGTTTCATCGGTTCAGCGAGAGATGACCGTTTGTGTTTGTGGGGAGTTAGCAGTTTTCTGCCTTATTATGGGTTTCCATATGTTACGTATCTCTATACGATAGCTTGGCTAAATGCGTTGTTGGCCAACATAAATGCGGCTTCTTTGAATTTCCTCCTGAACCAGTGTTGCTCCCTCGGATGGTCTCAGCTTGGGACAACTTGATGCTCTGATTATCCCGATTTGCTGTTTTCTCATCGCTGTGTGAGTTTTATCATTCTCGGCAATGCGGACTTTCAGTTTCACTGATGTAGGATTCTCTGCACTCTCGTAATTGTTCATTCGTGTAATTCAATGTTTATATTAAAGTAGGTGTTTCGAAAGGGCTTTGTTTCTGAAAGTATTTGTATAAAGATGGAAAAGTAGAAAGCCAAAACCTTTGTTTCCCATAAATTATTGTCTCATAAAAATATATCCTTTCAATTTAAATTGTTCCATTATTCTGTGAAATTGAGATCCCTTACGTGTTCGTTAATTCATCATTTCTTTATTCATAATTAGGTCATTCAACAGATACAGATCCAATAACAGGATGGCACTAATTGAACATAAGAATTGGCAATAATTTTTGATGTACAATGGAGAAATCTCAATAGCTTCCGAATACAAACATATTGGTATTGAAACTAAAGTATGGCTACTATGAACAAAGTATTGAAAGCTGAGATTTCAAATTCTTCTTGAAAGCTTGTAGTACCTAGCAAAAAAGTTAACAGAATCTCATTTCATATTACAAAACCTCGAATATCTTATGAGAGATGTCCTGCAAGATGTCCTGCAAGGACATCTCTCATAAGATATTCGATGTTTTGTAATCATATCATATATATTAGGACATCTCTAATATTTGCAAGGAGATATAAGGAACGAAGAAAATTTGTCTATGCCGAGTGTTATTCAGGATGTTTCGAATTCGATCCTCACCATTGGGGCCTCGGAAACAATGAGAGACACGAAAATAGTCAAATTTGGGCAAAGTTGCGCATTTACCTGTAATTTATCAGTGAATAATTATTCATTTTAATCAAAGTATCCATTTGAATCAGTACATTTTTGCCAACATAACACAAGTTGATTAATTCCCTCAGGATGAAAATTGAGTGCTTACAGATTTCTTATCCGACGTTTCGTCTTCGATCCACACCATTGGGGCCTCGGAAACAATGAGAGACACGAAAATAGTCAAATTTGGGCAAAGTTGCGCATTTACCTGACAAACAATATGCCGTTGAGAAAGTTCAGAAATTCCGATTATATCCGGGTCTATCGAAAATGAATTGTACTTCCACTTTGCCACTTTTTCCCTGCAACATAATGGTGTTTTCAGATTTCTTATCCGACGTTTCGTCTTCGATCCACCATCATAAACTTTTATTTTTTCTTATGAGCGCTACATTGGATTCTTTAAATTTTGAATAGAACCAGATTTTACATTTTCAATGATTTATCATAAGTTATCATTCTTTTTTGAAAAATCGGAGACATTGAAAAAAAAATTCTTATCATAATAGGCTTTGACTTTGATATTTCTAAATTTGACTTTCAATTTGTTACTCAATGTCATTTTGTTATTGTACAAGTCATTGAATTTTTGGCAAAAATGGCTTCCACGAATGAAGAAAAAAGAGATATGATACAAATTTATTAGAAATACGATAGAAATAGTGTTACGACATCGGAAATGTATTTAAACTTGAATCCCGAAAAACGACAACCACATCAAACTATGTTCGTATTATTGGATCAAAATCTCACCGAGTTTGGTTCGTTTGAAAAGCCAATGAACAAATACGGAGACAGAATCAACAATCAAAATTTGATAAATGAGGTGTGAATGAGGTAAATTAGATGTTGTGTCCTTTTCAACAAATAACAATAATTAACTAAAGTGTAAAGACGAAAGTAAATTACAGCAAATGCTCAAAATGCTGGCCTTGTTTATGATAACACAACTGTGCTCTTCTTCGAATATTATTCATTGTACGATTAATTCCCCTCCTTCTCAATCTTCCGAACTCTCAAACAATGCTCTGTTGAAGGCCCTCAATATTTTGATATTCCCTCTGACCATAAACTCTAGTTTTCCGTGTGCCACATAAGAGTCTATCCACAACACTTGAGTGTGGAAACCTTGCTGGTCACCTCACCGGCCCATTATTCCCTATCCACTTATCACCACACATTTCAGTCAGGTAATTAGACACTTGTCTGGTAGTGTGCGGTGGAGCACCATTATGTTGAAACCAGATGTTGTTATAGTTAGCCAGAATTCCGTCAGATAAATGAGGACCCAAAATTCTATCTTCGTAAATTCCTGCTCACAAGTTAATACTAAACCGCACTTGAGGTCGAATTTCTTAGAACTGCCTGGGGTTGTTTATGCTCCAAATGTGTTCGTAAAAGTTCTTTCATCTGTCCAAATTACATTTTCCAGGAAATTAGGAAAATCAGGTCTTCTTATTAGCCATTTACAAAATTCTTATCGCCTTTCGGGATCACCTGGATGCAATTTTTGGATATGTGTATTTTGTAACATTTTAAACAGCTTTTTTGAGATGTCTCCAAGCACTTGTATGACAAATATTCATTTCGGAGGAAATTTTACGTGTTGATTTCCCCGGGGTCATGTTTATCTGCAAATTATTAATATTTATTGAAAAGGACACAATGTCTAACTTACCTCATTCATCAAATTTTCTTTAGTTTCCTGGTCCGTTATGTCTCTGTATTATTTCCTCGGCTTTTCAAATGAACCAAACTCTGTGAGATTTTGATCCAATAACTTGAACATAGTTCAATGTGGTTGTCGTCTTTCGGGATTAAATACATTTTCGATGTCCTAACACTGTTTCTATCGTAAATGTAATAAATTTGTATCGTATCTCTTTTTTCTTCATTCGTGACAGCCATTTTTCGCCAAAAATTCAATGACTTGTACAATAACAAAATGTCATTGAATGTAACAAATTAAGCGTCAAATTTAGAATCATCAAAGTCAAAGCCTATTATGATAAGTAGGTATTATTTTTTTTTCAATATCTCCAATTTTTCGAAAAAGAATGAAAAAGGTAAAATCTGGTTCTATTCAAAACAGAAAGAATCCAATGTAGCGCCCACAAGATAAAATAAAGTTGATGATGGTGGCCGGAAGACGAAACGTCGGATAGCAAATCTGAAAACACCATTATGTAGCAAAGAAAAAGTGGCAATGTGAAAGTGCAATTCATTTTCGAATCCTTCGAAAAATAAAGCCAGAAGAAATAAAAACCCTTTTCCGATATTTCTGTTTTTTTTCCGGATATCTCCGGATATACTTAGAATTTCAGAACTTTCTCAACGGCATTATGTTAATCAGGTAAATGCGCAACTTTGCCCTGATTTAACCATCTTCGTATCTCTCATAGTTTCCGAGATCCCACTGGTGAACATCGAATTTAAAACACCCTATATAATCTGCAGTTAAAGAGAAAGTAACTGAGACAGTACTTTGAGTCTGTCATATATTTTTAAAATTAAAGTCATAATTTCTATGAAAAGAATAATAAAAAACTCTTCTGCGCTTCCGTTCATTACACCCACTTTCTAACTGAAATTATCATTCTTTGGAATGAAACAAAAATCTATATTAATGAACTCTTCGTTTTATCCTATAGGGAATATAGTGAGAAGAAAGATGTGTGGTCGGGATCTTCCAGAAGAATTTTTAGCTGATCATCCATTCTTCATTATCAATTGCGGTGATAAGCGCAGCTTGATCATGTTTGAATGTCGCGTCTTGAATCCTTTGAACAAATCTACGCAGGTAGGATGCACATCCCTCGAACTACCTCTCGTTGTGGTTGTATTGAAACAATTAACATAATGTGATGGAACTGGCTGATACTTGATGAAAATCCATTTTTATTATGATGGTGGTCTGTAACCTAAAGGCACACACACCGATTTTGGACGGCCGTTTTTATACCGGTCGTCCAAATTCCAATGGTGAACCATATGTGGAAACGGGACCTGGCACACACGCCGAAAGGTGATCGTCGTCGATCACCGGTAAGCATGTATGCCAGGTCCCGTTCCCACATGTGGTTTACCATTGAACGACCGGTATAAAATCGGTCGCACGCTGGTTGCACACACACCGATTTTGGACGGCCGACTTTGTACCGGTCGTCCAAATTCCAATAGTGAACCACATGTGGACCTGGCACACACGCCGACCGGTGATCGTCGCCGGTAAAATATCGGTCAGCAGCCGTCCATTGCCACTGTATCGCCGGCAGTACCGGGAAGTAGTGGCTAAATACACTCTTGAATACTCACCGGTTTTTTACCGACTATTCCAGTCTCGAATGCTCGGTGAAATTGTAGTTACTACGCATTAACTTCGTTTTGGTAGTGCGTGCTAATTACGACAACAAAGTAACTGATTGTTTGACACATAAAAATCCGGTGAGTGTGCAAGCACCAGCTACGATCACCGGTCCGCGTGTGTTCCAGGTCCCGTTTCCACATGTGGTTCACTATTGGAATTTGGACGACCGGTACAAAGTCGGCCGTCCAAAATCGGTGTGTGTGCAACTAGCGT